CAGTCTCTGGGGAGAATCTCAGCCAGCCACTACATGGGCACTAAAGTTAGAAGCCTCACCTTCAGGTAGCAGTTTTTTAAGTATGTACCCCTAATGAACCCTTTCAGGGAAAGGGTGGGAGATGGGCATTTTTGCCTGTTTCCTCTGTGCTGAGCCCTGGGGGAATAGCCAGTTAAGAACTGCTTCTTTGCTACAGTCCTGTGGTACTTGTGAATGCAAGCCCCACTGGCTATCAGGGCCATATGACCCATCCCTTGGGTGGAAGTTGTAAAAGCTGAGGTGCAGACATATGTGCAACCTCCTTGCAGGGAGATACTAGTGACTTGGAGCTGGCTGGAGAGGTGTCCATCATCTTCCACTCTCCAGGGAGGATCATAGCCAGGCCCTGGATGCTTTATACATTAGGCGCTTGGTCCTCAGGCAGTAGCTCTTAACGTTTGCAGCTGTCTTTCAGGGAAAGACTGGGAAATGGGTGATGTTGCCTTTTCCCTCTGCACTGATCACCCAGGGATAGCTGTGGCTAATACTCATGCACTTGTGAATAACTGTTTGCTTTATTCTTAAAGTTGTCATCGACAAAATCCTCATTGGCTTCCAGAGCTAGGTGTTTAGGGGCCCATCCCTCATGTGGGAGTCTTAAAAGTTGGGGTGGTAGGTGTAGGGTCCAAACTTTTTTGCTCCTCAGGGAAAAGCTGCTAGTTGGGGGTCACTCCTGATTGTATGGCACTGTGCCAGGGGCAAGGTTTATGGAGAGTGTGTCTCAGCATTTTCTACCCATCTCCATGTCGGTGTTCTCTCATGTGCCCATGTGTAGGCATCCTCGGGTAGTTCCTGGATCCCTTTCAGTGGGAGTGGCTCTGTGTGCAGCTGTGCATTTGATGTGTCTGTGGGAGGAGGAGAGCTCAGGACTCTCCTTTGTCACCATCTTAGCTGATTCTCCCATTTTCAAATAATTTAGCTTTTTCCTCTGTTAATTAAATCCGTATTTCTAGACTGACCATTTTAAAAAGTGGCCAAATATTCATCTATCTATTCCATGCATTTGTTTATGGCAACATTTCCTGGAATTTCATACCATCGTCTTTTACCTCTTTCCTAAGTTGAATAACCTATGTCTTGTCTTCCTTGTTTACTCCCTGACTTTGTGGCATTTCTTGAGAAACACATCTTGAGAAAAGCTTAGGGAAGATATTTCTGAGCATTTACATGTCTGGAAATATCCTTGTTTTACTCTGATACTGTTGTTTAGCTAGACATGGAGTTTAGGATAAAAATGACTTCTGAAGACATTGTTCCATTGTTTTCTAACTTCCAATGCTAAGAAGTCAAATGTTACTCTGATTCTGGAACCTTTGAATAGGACCTATTTTCTTCTCGGAAACTTTTGAGATCGTCTTTATCCCAGTACCCTGAACTTTTTCAACTTGTGTGCTTTAGGTAATTTCCACCACTCTCCTCCCCCCCCCATTTTGCTGGGTGTACGTTAGGCCTTTTTAACCTGGAAGCCCATGCCTTTCAGTTTGGGGAATTACTTACATAATTTCTAGGGTAACTTTCTACCCTCCTTTCCCCCTCATCTCTCTTCTGGAGCCTACTAGTTAGGTATTGTATTCCCTGAAATAATCCAATTTCCTTATTTTCTCTCATTTTTCTTCTTTTTGTTCTAGTACTTATGAAAATTCCTTAACTTGATCTTCCAAACCTTCTATTTAAAGTTTGATTTATTCTATAAACTTTATTGTCCTCGATGTATTTTTAAAATAGCATCCTATGCTTATTTCCTATGTAAAAATCAGTATTTTCTCTGAGACATTACTCTTAGACCTACAAGATCATAAATCTGGTGATAAAATGTGCTTCTTGGGAACAAATTTGCCACTTCAAATGTTTATATAAGGTTTAATCAGCCAAAAATGTGTGCCTTTTATTCACATGCTGTTAATTAAACTGTTTAAAATGATTTCTTCAAAACTTGTCAAGTATCACACAATGTTGTCAAAAAACAGAAAAAGTTGCTTATGAATTTGTGCCCACACTACAGATAAAGCTGAAGTGTAAATAACTGCAAAATAAAAAGACATGCAGATTCCAGCAATCAGGCTTGGCCAAAGCACAGGGCTTTTTGCAATGGCCTGGAATGTGGAATCTACTGCCCACTTGAATCCAAGTCCAGATGCCTGATTTCTTTTTTCCATTTTTAGTTCATCATACTGGTTTGTTTTTTGTTTTAAGGTCATCAGGTTTCTGAGCAAGAATTTCATCTCGAGAAAATATTCCATGCCAAAACACCCTATGTGCACTTTAAGTGACATGGGTGGTTTTACATCAGCATTATCTTATTGCAAATCATAATGGCACCTTGTATCAGTTATTAGTTTACAAAATGCTTTGATGTGCAACTTCTCAATAAAAACCTTATGAGTTTCAACCCTTTCACAAAGTTTGTAAAAGCAGACAATACAATGCTTAAGAGCCTTATTGTTAACTGAAAAATAGGATAACACCGATCTCTTAGGGTTTGTGTATTACTTTATATATGTAGAATGATTAATGTCACTGATATATAGTAAGCACTTAGTAAGTTGCCATTGTTGTAATGCTAGAATCTGTGTTATATAGAATCTAGCAATGTTTTAATGCAATGTCTCTATAGTAAAAAATCTTACTCCTTGAGCCCTAGAGGGTTGTTATTGCTCACTTGGTATCCTCTGTACCAAACCGAGAGCTGTCATCCTTGTTTTTCACTTAATTATAACATCTTTCTCTTTTGTGTGTACTGTATTCTTATTCAATTACAAACCTCAAAAATGGGAATTATCTCCCAAGAGACTGGTACAAATTTGAGACCCACAATACTGTCAGCTGACTCACATTGATTTTACATTCAAAATATTTTCCTGCCAAGCCTGCTGCTAAAAGGAACTCTTAGTTTTAGGCAAATGGCAAACAGTTTTACTGTTTGAATTTTTAAAAAAGATTTGCTCTGCTTAAGTAGCCTATGAATGAAATTTGTCAAATATTCTAAAGCTTAAATTTAATGCATAATTTGTAAGGATACAATCAAACATACCGTATTTGCCGGCGTATAAGACGACTGGGCGTATAAGACGACCCCCTAACATTTCCACTCAAAATACAGAGTTTGTTATATACTCGCCGTATAAG